GGCAGTGGACGAGTATAAAGTTTGGGCTGGTCTGTGATTCCACAGCCCCCAGCTCTTTTTTGGTTAAACTTTAGTTCATCGTGGTTTTCAAGTCGTATTTAATTTTTCAGTTTGGTCATTTTTTTAAGGGTTGATAAGTGTTTTTGGTTTTGATACTTACATGTAGAATTGGTATGTGAGTCCCTATTGATTCAGTTCCCAGCAACTTTGTCATTGAAGATTCCTCATAGTTTGAGTTTCCCTTATTGTGATAGCTTGCTATTTTTCAAGGTCTGCCTTGTTATCTAATGCACCCTACCGGTATACGCCTGCATTGCATTGGCACATTTTGATGCTGGACTCCACACCTGCATACACATCTGGCAGCTGGCAATCAGGTAAGAGATGACTGGACCACGGAGACATGTAAACTAAGTCTGGATATGACATCATGCTCATGCACACGTATATGTAATTGACACCTGCTACCCCTTCTGATTTAATCGCAATTTCGGCAGCTGTGGTGGCTGCACCCTCCACCCATAAAAGGGAAAAAAAAGAGGGGAAGAAAATTGTTGAAGGGGGGAGGGGGCTGCGTGGGGTGGAAAGCGATGGAAGGTTTTATTTCACTGTGTGTGGGAGGGGGAGATAACCTTTCCCCTCCCCTATAGGGTCAGGAAGATCAGACATAAATTGAATAATGTATCTACTTCAGCTAAAAATCTGTCCTTATTTAAAATAAAGTTGAAGTTGCTACTTGGTGCAGCCATCAAAAAAATGTACGGTTCTGTGTTAATTTCTGTTTAAGAGAACTAAATTAAATTAAAATTAAAGAGACCGCCGGATGTTATACACTTTGTAGACATGATAACACATGTTTTGTGGCTGAGAGCATAATTGTAAACCTTTCCTCCAAAATTTGCCGATGAAAGCCACAATGTGGAACTTTTGAACATTTTTTTGCAGCTCCTTAAAAATAACAAGAAGAAAATGAATATCTGTCTTGTTAATTGTAAAAAGAAACTTTGTTATTATAAATGGGTGAATAAGTTTAATCGTTTTATGATTATTTTAATTTCACTGATCAAGCCCCTTATTGTCATAATATTTGCTCTTGGAACATTGATGAAGGTCCAAGCAAGACGGTCGGATTGTGGAATCAAAGCGAGGGCCAGCAGTCTGCAACCTTCAGAAGAGGACCCTGCTAACTTACTGTGGCTGTGCGGAAGTCTTCCGCGACCCTTTTCGGCCTGTTAGTTTTACAGTAAGTTGACAGGGACGTTAGTTTACCATGTGTTCTCATTGGATTTAAGTTTGTAATTCTACAGGAAAGTCTTGGTAAGTTAACCAAAAAAGTCCAATGGGAGCACAGCTTTTGATGCACAGGCAATCAACAGCAGCCAAACGAACTGGTCATGTTGAGACAATGGGAGCTAGTCTCATTAAACAGTGCCACTGTTGGATCTTGTGGTGGCTGGCAAGCACAGACTGCCAGGCTGTTTGGCCTTGGGGAGAGTTGACCTGTAGGATCTTGTTACGCAGGGCAAGCAAATGACCTTGACAAATGATGCAGACTGATGTGTCTGGCAGGGTTTCTAGCCAAACAACCCTGAACAGTTAGAGTTATATATTGTGCTTGTTTTGATTATGAAAAAGGCTTTGGAATCATTCATATTAATTGACAGAAATGAGGCCTGTCTGTTTCTCCAGTCCAGTTGACTTTTTCTTTATTGTTAGGGCAATTGTGTGCAAGAGGATGGAAGCAGAGATGGTAGTGAGAGTGGAAGAAACGTGCTGTCCATCCAGGAGAAGTCTGTCTTCTGCAGTGACTGTAAGTTGTCTTTAAGTATTGGAGATGATGTTGAGGCCATACATTGATGTCACAGAGAGATGCACAAAGTAACGTCAGGCAATATTGAAGATTTCAAATACAGACACTCAAGCCAGTTGGGGTCATACGATATTACTTGAACCAAATCATTTTCAGGTTTGACAACTTAACAATCACCATTGTGCAGTTAATTGTGTGTGTTCATTTGACTCTAAAAGAACCAGAGAGTAGATCTGCCCCCTCAAGATTTGTCTGATATCGCCACAGTACTGTAGTCCAGCCTTCAGGAGTTTTACTTTCTCGTTTTTGGTCTTTTTGACACCAATTCCGTGAAAATCGCACATGTATTTTTCTCGTTACAAGCACCCCATTTTCCTGAAAGAAAAAGCAAAAAAAGGCTGGTCCGAGCCAATTTGGCTTATCAGGCCGGTGTTTATTGCGGTTTCCTTGGCATGAAAGGACCAAGAATATTTCTTTTTCCCCCTGGATGGGATGCCAGTCAATCACAGGCTGCTTCCCCAGCTAATGCTGCTACCCATCTATACTCCTAGGTGGAGAGAGGCAAGCAGGGGTGAAGTGGCTTGCCAAGGGCCACAGCATACTGCCAGCAGCCGGATTCGAACCTCCAACCCTGTGATTGGAAGCCACAGACCCTAAGCACTTGGCCACATGAAAGAGGTCAACCATACTTTTCCCTTTTTTTAACGAGCAAAGCCTTTAGTTTCATGTAGCAGCTTTTTACAGTCACTTTGACGGAAGCTCTGTGAAAATCACACATACTGTTCTCATGCGGCACCTACTTTCCCGAAACAGGTCACCAAAAAAAAGTACCTGCACTTTCAACTGTTGTGCTGAGTGCACACAGTGGCTGGTATGCTTGTAATCTTCAACTTCAACCGTATCAACTATAAGTTGTATGTCAGATTGATTTGAAACTCCACATCTGTATTGATAAGAAGCGTTTAACATGCACGCTGAGTGTTGAAAAAGAATGGGCTTGGGATGGCCAAGATCTCGGCTGTGAGATGGTGCCAAATAGCCTGCCACTTTCAAGGTTAACACTGGAATAAAATTGACAGAACTTGATGACATTGCTTGGTTTCTCCTAGCAATCCTGGCAGGAGGAATTTCCACTGTGTTGGCTGCATCAGAGGCTCCGCTGTAAAAAGCTCACCAACCATAGAGGGCGCTATTACCATTCCATGAAGCCTACTACATCACACAATGGTAATGGAAAGAGGAAACAAAGAACTGAATGCTGCCTGAATTACATCAAAGCAGTAGCGCCTCCACTCATCCAGAAAAGCTGACAGATTTTTATGTTTATTGCAAGAAACCGAAAATTGTGAAATAAAATGCAGAGGACCTGACGTTTCAATTCTAGCACAATCTTTCTCAAGTTTCAACCAACACAATTAAATTTTTGGTGACATGTACATGATATAAAACTGAAGTTTAAATATCAAAAGGTTTGCAAATATATGTTTGACCTAAAATATACTGAAATACGTGCAAGGTGTGAATATTTTGTGAATTCTCGGTCATTTAACATATTCAAATACTATTAGTATTTAAATACATGCAAATGTCTCTCTGCCCTCTGACCTTTTTTAAACTTGCGCAATCCTAACCTATAAATATAAGTTCCGAAACATAATTTATTAAGAGGTCTGTGGCCTGGTGGTTAGTGAGCTGGCTGCCAGGCCAGGGGATCCCGGTTCGAATCCCGGGGTCCCCGGAAAAGGAGG